TACCCTCCCTCCTCTCCTTTCAGACTCCTCCGGCACATCCACTCCTGCTGTCTCTTGCGCTCTCTCTGGCTGCCAGCTGTCTCAAGTCGTCATTCCGGCGTAAAGTGTCGGAAGCATTGCATGCCAGGTAGCCCTGTTGCTGGCCGTACACCTGGCAACAATCTATCTGCCTCCCCCTGACTGGGTTTTTGATTTGACGAAACCTGAGCATGATAAACATGCATTGTTGTTGTGTGGCTCAATCTCAAAAGTACCAGACACGCTGGGTTGGTTGCTCTGTTTGTCCGTACCTTATATACTGCTTTGTTGCACCATATCAGTCCTCCTCTCTCAGCCAATGAGGTACTCGGAATGACGCATGCAGAGACATCCAATCGTCGTCTATGGATCAGATAACCTCTTTGTCCAACGCACAACTGACATGAACCTCTGCGCCTCTCTGCCAACAGTTAGCCACCATAAAACAAGACTTCTTCAAGCCCGTCGTGCCCGTTTGACGCCGCATGGAATTGGGGCCTTTATGTTTCAGTTTCCGTGCTGACATACATGGCTGAGCATTACGGAATGAAGTAAATCTTTCAGTGAACACGGCCAACAGTCCATACCCATCGTCCCATGAAGAAAGTCAAGTCTAATAACCGTAAAATGGAACGTAGAAGTAAAAGGTCACATGAAGACGTTCAACCTCCGAGGACGGCTCCGCCCATCTCTTTCTATCAAGGGTCTCTCTCTCTCTCTCTCTCTCTCTCTTCCGAGTCCTTCTAGCGTTTCCTACTCTTGATCCGCGCTGCTACTAGCCCTCCCGTAGGCTTCAGCCACCCTCCGACCGACACTCTCACCGCTCCAATACGCACCCGTCGCCGTGCCCAATGCGACGAACGGCGCCGTGTGCTCGCCGGCCAGCCACAGCCCGCCCTCCGGCACGCCCTCGCGCATCGCCTCGACGTCCTTATCGCCCTCCTCCAGTCCGACCTGGAAGTTACTGTAGCTGCCGTTGCCCGCGAGGTCGTCGCGCAGCCAGTCCGTCGCCAAGCATCCCGTGGGCCTGCAGTCGGGCGACCTCTCGTCGTAGCCCGGCATCCGGGAGTAGTACGGCCTGAAGAAATCGTAAAGGAAATAGTTTCTCTCGGGTATCGTCTTCAGCTTCGCCACTTCCTCCGTAATGTACTTGGACTCGTCTCCAAAAATATAGAATAGCAGTGTCGGATGCGAGTCCGGGCCCAGCGACGCGAGCTCGACAATCTCCTGGTTCCACCGCTTCGGGTTCAATTTGGCAGAGTAGGTAGGGGCCAGCCACTGGCAGAAGCCCTGCACCCTTGGGGCGTCGGCGTCGTCCGGAGCGAGCCAGAACGCCTTGGGGAAAGTAATGTAAACCTTTTCGAGACATCCGTACCCGATGGCCTTGATACCGCGCTCAACCCGCTCAGGTAGGGGCGGGTCGAATGCCTGCAGGTTCTTCTTCAGCCACCCAAGAGGGGCAGTCATGACAACTTCGTCAAACTCGAGTACGTGGCCGGTATCGGTGTGAACCCTTGGTTTCAGACGGTCCGGTGTCTTGAGCTCTACTTTGGTGACGCGGGCATCGTACATGATGTCCGCGTTGTGTCTTACCGGCTCCGCGACCCGCTCGAGGATCTTCTCGTAGGTGCCGGCGCAAAAGAGGTTTTCTCGAATAAAGTCAACCCTGGCTCTGAGGATACTATCCACCCTTGCGGGACTTCTGCCAGGGAGAGTCACTTACCGCCGTCTATGCACTCTTCCAACCAAAAGAACTTGAGGCTTTGGGTCTGAACCGGAGTCCCAATGAACGCGCCCCAAGATTCAGCAACTTGAAGAACAATGGAGCGTTTCTTGGCGTAGTCCTCTTCCGTTTCGGGTATCTTCTCAACCAGCCTTTCCTGGAAAAAGTCCCAGAGGCTCTCGTCGGGATGAATGCTGGCAGTGTTCTTGTTTGAGTGTTGAAAAGCATCCTGGATAATGCCCCACATGATGCTGGAGTAGTGTTCGCTATCCGCAGGGTCAAGCAAGATTCCATCCTCGTCGACCATGTAAGTCCGGTGATCCCAGCTGCCGACGGCGGTATCTGTCTCTTTGGCCAGGTCAAGTATGGGGTTGTCGTCGGTGCCGTGTATCCAGTTCGGGCCCAGGTCAACGGTATATCCATTGGGAAGTTTATCCTGGACCACGCGTCCGCCGAGGCGCGTCCGGCCTTCGATGATGGTTACTAGCAGGCCATATTGGATGAGAATATCGGCACAGCGCAAACCAGCGAGGCCGGCGCCGACAATCGCAATATGTGGTCTGGGGCCTGACTCGGATTGTTTGCGCTGTAATTTGTCATGAGCAGGGTGCGTTGGCAGGAAAGAAGCAAGCAAGCGGTCATCGTATTGTACGCTGATGTGTGACAGGTACGGACAGGGGAGTCAAGACGGCTTTCCCATCAAGGAAGACGTTGGGCGGTACCGGCCCGAAGCGTCCCACTAGCGACGTTAGGCACGTGGTTGACGAGAAGGAGACTTACCCGCGCAAATGAATCCATGGTCAATGATCTGAGTAGAAGTTTTTCTTGGCCGATTCCAAGGAGGCTTTGGAGTCGACAGGATTCAAGGTCCTGGTAAATGCGGGATGTGCTGCGGTTTGAAGGGCTGTGATACGAAACTGAGTAAGCGTCCATTGTTGCAGATGCGAGAGAAGCAATTGGTGAGTGAAGAAGGTATATGATGAAGCAAGTCCGGAGGATCTGGAGAGTTGGAGGAACGCCAAACTAAGCCAGATGCTGCCACTGGGGCACTAGTCCGTGAGAGGACCAAATAAAGTCACAAGAGATCGGTTAGATCCAGGCGAAAGCAAGAACAGATGAGACAAAAGAAGGAGCGTAAGGGGATTTTGGGGTTGGGGAGAGGTCAGGCTGGATGTGGGGATGACGAGCAAAGTGGTGGAATGTCTTGCCCCCAGCGGCTAGCATTTGGCTGAGGGGGAGAGGGGATCATGGGTCTTGGACTGATATGTACAATGAGCCCGGCTGTTTGGGTCGCGGACATGCGCCGCCATGAGGGATAAGCGCAAGAAGTCCAGATAAGGTAAAGGTCGAGTGCGGCAAGCGAAGCCGTGGTAAAGCAGGCGTAGTAGTAGCTTATGATAGCTCACAAGCCACCTAAACCATGGAAGCTCTGTCCGGCATCCATGAGCAGAGGCGAGCACATCCAGACAAGCCCATTTATGCGCCATCGAAATGCCGTTCAAAGTGCCTTACCTAACCGAAACATTGATAAGAGGCAAGAGACGGAGAGATCAGTGGAACAGGACTGTCCAGTAGGTAAAAGGCAGAGGGGGTGAGGTCGGTCCGGGCTGAGTAGCGTGATAGAGTCTCTTACTCTGTCACTGCAGCGACAACCAACCAACCAACCCCTCCCTCAGTCCTCCGCCTGTCGAGTTGTCGCATAAAGGCGGTTGATCCAGACAGCCAGCCAATGATTCGCAAGAGAATGGAGTATGCTCCTCCTAAGTGCGAGTACACCTGGCCCTTGGCTCGTTCAAGAGACGGCAGCCGAGTTATCATTGAGTGCGGCATCGCCTTTTTGGGGCTTTGCGGGCGCCGGTGGACGTGATGTATGGGCATTGGAAAGGGAGCATTGGCGGAATGGGGTTGTGATTGAAGCAGGGAAGCGATCAAGGAGAAAACAACGGCAGAGACGGGAGGAGCAACAGAAAGACAGACTTACTATCTTATTAGGAGCGATCGGGCGGGGGAATTGGTGAGCGCGCTAAGCCTCGATATCATCCGGGATACCGTCAGGAAGGCCTCGACGAACGAAGGACAGGATGCCGATGGCCAGGAAAGGGGGGAAAGAGGGACAAAAAGCCCGAGTGAAAGAGGACGAGGATGACGGAGGAGCAGACGGCCGGTATGTGTTGTTTGCTGGGAATTCGGGAAACGAGCCCGCGAGTCAAACGATGGACGGAACAGTGAGGTGACGGCGGCGGCGGCGGCAGCAGCAGCAGCAGCAGCAGCAGCAGATGAGGAACGACCGTCCGTCGCGGCCAGAGGAGGCAATGAAAGTTGTGCTGCGGTCTTGCGGTGCGGTGCTGTGCGGTGGACCTGACCTGACTGACGACAAGAAACCACAAACCCAACAGGATGGTGGAGGGGCAATCCAATGGATGAAGGAAATGGTGCAGCGGAGGGCAACAACACCACACACGCACACGCACACAGCAAAGCAACGCCTGCCCGCCCCTACAATAGACCTCACCTCAGGAAGGCAATAGCGGGTGGAGGGGTCCCCGAATCGCTGCTTCGCTGCAACGGTGGAGGGGCTCTGGTGACACTTCACTGCTATTGCTCCACCGCAGCGTCATCCCTCCACTAAAATCTCCATTCCCGCCTGTCCGCTCTTTCTCCTTCATGCGCTTTCCCTGAGTCTCCTGGCCTGGTCTTCCCTTCCTGCTTCCCTTGCCTCCCCGTCCCATTCCTTCTCTCTCTCTCTCTCACTTTTTCTCTGTCTGTCTTCTCCTCTCTCTCCTCTCTGCTGCGTCAATTTTCGCCGAGCATTTACCTTGCCCCTCGACGGACGGGAACAAAAAAAGACCTGACACCATCGCCGTCATGTGTTGCCCCAGACACCCTGTCATCGACATCCAATGACTCGACGGCCGCCCAGCAATGACGAACAACAAAATGTACATATGAGGAGGAGCCGACGATACCCTCAGACCTCGCTCTTTTCCATTGCTCTCACCTCACTCGCCAAAAGCGACAACCCTCGTCTGCTCACCCACCGCAATCGCTGCAGCCATTCTCAATTGAGCGACGCTCGTCCATGTCGATCACCAATGGACCCGATAAACCCCATTGGACCCTGCCGACTTGACCAGGGATTCCATCCTGCGCCAACATGTAGTCCGACCCTCTGATATAGCTTCCCCGCCGACCCGGCCGTCTTGTCTTTTTGCATTTCCGGGCACCAGAAACCTACCAGAGCCTCATCCGCGGGGTCACGATGCTCACCAAAGCGCCTTCTCCACTAGCTGTTATCCTCATCCTCTTGCTATTCGTCGTGTCCGGGACTTCCCAACAGGACCATGACGATGATCAGGGCCAGGCTGTCCAACCTACGCCACCCGCCGACACGTCTGACGCCCAGCTCTCGTGGCAATCCGCTTTTTGGGCCCTCGTGGCTGTCGCTCTGAACACTGTAACCCAGCCCTCGGGCCGCATCGTCGGGTTTCCATCGTCATGGGGTCCTGCGCTGAAGTGTTCGCCTGTGTTTTGCATCGTCAATGCTATCGAGGCCCTCAACTGCATCCGCGTTCGCCATGCCTTCGAATGGACCCTCGTTGTCGCGCCGCACAAGTATGACGTCGATGAGAAATCCGCACACCGTGACGTGGTTAACTTACAGCGCAACACGCTGATTCGTGTCGTCACTTTCGTCCTCGGCCCTGTGCTGCAAGCGACGAAGCTCTATGCCTGCCGAGGCATCTTCTGGACACAGGTCTTGGCGGCCGTATATCTGGGAAGTTTCCTCTGTGACGAGGTCATTTTGTGTCTCTTGTGGCTGACTGGGTCGACTGCCGGCCGGGAGGGCGTCACGGGACTCGTCGAGGCGATACTCAGCCCTGCAGCACCTCCTTCGTCGCCAAGAACCGCAACATTTGACGATGACATTCAAGAGCAAAATGAAGCCACGATGCAACAGGGCCTGGCTATAATCCTTTCTTTCTGGTTCCTACTCTGGTTTGCAGGCACTGCTGCTACTGGAATTTGTGTCAAACACCCCAATCTGGCGGCGTGGATCAAAGTCGTGAATGTCCTCCTGGGCGGACCAGCATCCGCCATCACCTTCGGTGTTCTTTCTTACAGGAAGAGCAGTGGAGTCTTACGAATTCTCAAGGATGGCGCCCTTGGTTTTGCTGTGCCTGTCTGGCTATCTGGTGTCCTCGCCAACATCATATGGAATTGCACACCCATGGTGGAGGTTATGGAAAACGGGGTCGTCGCTTTCCACGCGAATGCTCGCCCCAAGGACTGGACATGGAAAGTCACGGGCGTGTTCTCGACATTCGGGCTTGGCCTATTGGCACGACACTTTCTCGCAAATGTCGATCGCCATGGAGTGCCCAAACCGGTCAGGGTCACCTTGACATTGTGGGCAGGTGCCCACCTGGCAACCGCGCTGGCAATGTACAGCTTGGCTCACGATCCTAGTCTTACCTTTAAACCATCGTGGACGGACGTCTTGGGCTGAGGGCAGTGAGGCAGGCTTTAACGGAGTTGCATTTGACAACCTGGATGGTCATGGAGTAGGCGAGGCCATCTTACTGCGCAGAGCCCGAGAAATTTGATTGAACCATGAACACTCACTATCCGATGTCGTGCTTCGGCCGATATGAGACCATCTGATCAATATCCCTCCATCCCTGACGGCCCCAACGTCTATTGAAGAGGCTCTGCACCAAGACAGGAAAGATGCTAGACTGAAAGAGGATCTCCAGCCTCGGAATAGATAAGGTAGAGCTCATAGTGGGATGATGCGCCCCTCTGCGGGGTAAATCTTCCTCTGTGGGGGAAGCATTAACAGGGGGCCCCGTCTGGTGTCCAATGCTCAGCGCATCGCAAAGTGTACCAAACATCAGCTTTCCGTGGAACTCGGCTTTGCCCCTAACTTTGCTTACATCTCGTCGTCAACTACCCAGCATCTCTCCATCTTAGTCGATTTCTCATCAGATAGCACACGGAGCGTGAGTAATCATCAAAGACCCCAGTCGCGTCAAAGCTTCGGCAACCCCCGATTTGGTCTTCAGTCGCATCCCCGGACGCCATCTCTTCCCCCAGCCTCCCTCGAACCAATCACAACTCTCCCGAAATCAGCACCGTCCGCCAGGCGCCCTCCACACTCCACACAAGCCGAGGCTCACGGCCAACCTTCCAGACATGGCTGTCTGCGGCCGCCCGTCTCCCGACCGACGTCAACCGATGTACCGCCCCCTAAAGGCACATGTCATCTGGTCCGACTCAGGTCACTGGCACTCCTGACACCTTGTCCCACGTCTCGAACGACACAACGCACGACTTGGCCTCCCTCTTACACGCCGACGATACCTATCCTCCCTTTGACGACGACGACGACGACGGGCACCTACCCAGGCCATTGAAGCTTCAGTCTCCCATTAGTCGAATCTCCCAAACTCCCTGGTGGTATCGAACAACAAAGAAAGCTCCATTCCCACACACATCACGATGGCCGCAAAGACGTACTCCCGCGACGAGGTCGCAAAGAACAACCACGACGAGTCCCTCTGGTGCATTATCGACGCAAAGGTCTACGACCTGACAGACTTCCTCGACGCCCACCCGGGCGGCGAGTCCGTCCTTCGCCAGGTCGCCGGCCGCGACGCCACCACCGAGTTCTACAACCTCCACCGCCAGGAGGTCCTCACAAAGTACGACAAGACCCTCGTCATCGGCACCGTCGCCGGCGAGAAGCCCTCTGTCGTCGTACAGCAGCCCGGCGAGCTCTCCGTCGTCCCCTACGGCGAGCCCCTCTGGCTCACGCCGCAGTTCAAGTCCCCGTACTTCTCCCCCTCCCACCGCGCCCTCCAGCGCGCCATCCGCGAGTTCACCGACACCTACGTCACCCCCGAGGCGCTGCAGGCCGAGGAGAGCGGCGACTACATCTCCCAGGAGCTCATCGAGCGCATGTCCAAGGCCGGCGTGCTGCACATGCGTCTCGGCCCCGGGAAGCACCTCCACGGCGTCGAGCTGCTCGGCGGCGTCGCCAAGGGCGAGGAGTTTGACTACTTCCACGACATGATTGTCAGCCAGGAGCTCGCGCGGACAAACTGCCGCGGATTCCAGGACGGCAACATGGCGGGCATGACCATCGGCCTGACCGTCGTGCTCAACTTTGCCAACTCCGAGGCCCTCAAGAAGAAGGTATCGGAGGAGGTGTTCAGCGGCAAGAAGAAGCTCTGCTTAGCCATCACGGAGGCTTTTGCCGGCAGTGACGTCGCAGGGCTGAGGACGACGGCGGAGAAGACGCCTGACGGGAAGCACTACGTGAGTACACAATACGTCATCACAGCGTCTAGTTGTCGTAGCACGCGTGTACTAACAGCTGCTTCGAACAGATTGTCAACGGAACCAAGAAGGCAAGTGGCAGACGCCGGCTGAACCCATACGAATACTAACCTTGTAATTCCAGTGGATCACCAACGGCGTGTTCTGTGATTACTTCGTCACCGGCGTCAAGACCGACAAAGGCCTCAGCGTCCTCCTCATCGAGCGCGGCGAGGGCGTCAACACCAAGCCCATCAAGACCTCCTACTCCCCCGCCGCCGGCACGACGTACATCACCTTTGACAACGTCAAGGTGCCCGTCGAGAACCTGCTGGGCCAGGAGAACAAGGGCATCCACGTCATCCTCAGCAACTTCAACCACGAGCGCTGGACCATGGCTTGTAAGCGTCGTCTCTACCCCTGACAGAAAACAACAACGTAACTAACACGTTCATCCCCCAGGCGCCACGATCCGCCAATGCAGAACCGTCGTCGAAGAGTCCCTCAAATGGTCTCACCAACGCCTCGTCTTCAACAAGCGCCTCATCGACCAACCCGTCATCCGCCAAAAGTCCGTTCCCCCCTCTGCCCCCTTCCTCCACCCCCTTGAAGCTAAAACACTAACAACTCCGCCACAACAGGCTCGCAAAGATGATCGCCCTCACCGAGGCAAACCAGTCCTGGCTCGAGACAATCACCTACCAGATGTGCAACATGCCCTACAAGGAACAGGCCAAGCACCTCGGCGGGCCCATCGGCCTGCTCAAGATGTCCGCCACCCGCGCCGCCCACGAGATCGCCGACGAGTCCGTCCAGATCTGGGGCGGCCGCGGCCTCACACGCACCGGCATGGGCCGCGTCGTCGAGATGTTCAACCGCACCTACAAGTTCGACGCCATCCTCGGCGGCGCAGAGGAGGTCCTCGGCGACCTGGGCGTCAGGCAGGCCATGAAGTTCATGCCCAAGTCGAGGTTATAAAGAGATAAAGTGGCTGGACGTGTGTAACAAGTTTGTAATAAATCCCCGTGAGGGTAGAAAAGAGAAAGACAGGCGCTAGAACTAAACAACATAAAACATATCAAATCAAGAACTTCGCCCGTGTGTACATCCTTTCACCATCAACCCTCCCGTTCAGGAAAAATCCCGAAAATATCTCCACGACTCAGGGCCGTTTCCTTTTCGGAGTAAACCCCGTTCGTCCCCCCCTCCTCCGCCAAGCAAACCCCGGGCGCGACCACTACCTTACGCACCACGACCCCCCCGTATGCCAAAGTTCGGATATACATACTTTAGCACGAATACAACTGCAACAACATTTCTCAGCGGGGAGCGGGCAGGGGCAGCGGCAGGGGCAGGGTTCACTACCTAAATGGGGCATCGTAGGTTTTGGCGTGCTTGTTTCAGACATCCTCTTTCGGGCGCGGCTGGGTCTCTTTCTTCCTTCGGGTGACAAAAAGGCAGCCGAACCCGTGTTCAACGCTCTTTGAAAACCCAAAAATCAAGAAAAAGTTTGCATCATCAGCAAAGCAGACGGTGAGATGTCCTGCCTTGGGATGACGCGGATGTGTCCGGGTTTCAGGGCCTTCGGCCAGTATTAGGTTTCTGCAAGGACCGTGATGCTGTTTTGTTAGCATCAGCGAGCTCTTTTCCGTTGTTGGATACGGCAGCTCCCGTTGACATGTGCTTGCACGACAACAAGGCAACATACAATCGCGAAGCCAAACATCAAGGAATTCATAGCACGCACGTCTCAACACCAAGTATACGCGTAACATTTCCATTTTCCTGCCCTGAGACGACCGATGCTGCCATAGGGCCGCAGCTTTTTGAGCACCCCCAAGAGCCGACCACAAAATCTATCATCAAGAGGTCGGAAAACTATTTTCCACCCACGAGCCGTCTCCACCCTATTCTGCTCTCCTCCCTCATCATCATTCCCGTGGAGAGGAGAGGCAAGCTTTGTCTTTAGACTGCAATCGTCATCCAACCGATGCGACCAAGCCCGCACGATGCCGAAGCTTTCGACGTTCATATGCGAAAAGGTGTATCATGGTGCGTAAGAGAAAAAGCCGTGATTTCATATGCCGTTCCGTGTAAAACTTTTCCGCAGGCCGAGTGTCCCATTGTTTGCCGTGAGCAAGGAAGAAAAAAGAGAAAACGAGAAAAAAGAGAGCCAATTCCAATGTACATAGCAAGCCGCAATGCCAGGTTCGTAAGAGTGAGCCGTATTTCGCCCCGAGGCCGTCTGAATCGTCGTAATAAACCGCGGTTCTGGCTGAGAGGCAAGCCAATGCGTCGTCACCAATCGTCCGTTGCAATAACGAGCTCGCGCTTAGTTGGGGCACTGGGACTGAACGTGACCAGGCTGCTGGCACTTGTAGCAGATCTTCTCGCCGCCGGAGGACTCCTTGGGGCAGTCGCGAGAGAAGTGTCCGTTCTCGCCGCAGTTGTAGCACTTGGAGCCGTTGGTGCAGTCGCCTTGAAACGTCAGCCAAAGTCCAGTTGCTTTAGATCCTAGGAGTACTCACGAGACATGTGGCCGTAGCCACCGCAGGAGTAGCAGGTCTTCTGGCTGGCACCGCCGTAGCCGCCGGAGTTGTAGCCGCCGCCGAAGCCGCCGCCGTAGCCGCCACCAGACTTGGGGCAGTTGCGGGCAATGTGGCCGACCTCACCGCACTGGGCTTCGCATTAGCTTCTCCGCTGCGCTGGGAAATCGAATGGCGAGTAACAAACCTTGTAGCACTCGGAGCTAGAGGCACCACCGCCGCCGACGTTGCCTCCCTGGGGGCAGTCGCGGCTGATGTGGCCAGCCTGGCCGCAGCGGTAGCAGGACTTGGTGTCCTTGGGGCCCTCGGGGCAGTCACGGCCTGGGAAAAGTTAGCGAACAGTCCACAGGGTCAAGAGCTTGGCAGTTGGACTAACTCATGTGGCCCTCGTCTGGAGCAGAGATTGTCAGTTATCTCATAGGCATAAGGCGAAAACGATGACTTACTGCCGCAGTTGTAGCTACACGAAAAAGTTAGTATCAACCGTTTGAACACCATAGCAGGAGAACATACCACTTGGCGGCGCCACGGTTGGGGCACTCGCGGGCCTACGTTTGGTCAGCAGCTTGAACGATGGATATCATCACTCCCTTCTCGAGGCATACCTGGTGGCCGGCAGCACCGCCTAAATATCTCTGGTCAG